TTATAACCCAGATAATCATGATGGTGTGATCACTCACACTCACCTAGAGCCAGACATCCTGGAATGCGAAGTCAAGTGGGCCTTAGCAAAGCATCACTGCGAACAAAGCTAGTGGAGGTGATGGAATTCCAGTTGAGCTATTTCAAATCCTAAAAGATGATGCTATGAAAGTGCTGCACTCAATATGCCAGAAAATTTGGAAAACTCGGCAGTGGCCACAGGACTGGAAAAGGTCAGTTTTCATTCCAATCCCAAAGAAAGGCAATGCCAAAGAATGTTCAAACTACCACACAATTGCACTTGTCTCACACACTAGTAAAGTAATGCTCAAAATTCTCCAACCCAGGCTTCAGCAATACGTGAACTGTTAGCTTTCAGATGTTCAATCTGGGTTTAGAAAAGGCAGAGGAACCACGGATCAAATTGCCAACATCCGCTGGATCATCGAAAAAGCACGAGAGTTCCAGAAAAACATCTTTTTCTGCTTTATTGACTATGCCAAAGACTTTGACTGTGTGGATCACAAAAAACTGTGTAAAATTCTGAAAGAGATGGGAATACTAGACCGCCTGACCTGCGTCTTGAGAAACCTGTATGCAGGTCAGGAAGCACCAGTTAGAACTGGACATGGAACCACAGACTGGTTCCAAATAGGAAAAGGCTGTATATTGTCACCCTGCCTATTTTATCTTACATGCAGAATACATCATGAGAAACACTGGGCTGGAAGAAGCACAAGCTGGAATCAAGATTGCCAGGAGAAATATCAATAACCTCAGATATGCAGGTGACACCATCCTTACGGAATAAAGTGAAGAAGAACTAAAAAGCCTCTTGATGAAAGTGAAAGAGGAGAGTGAAAAAGTTGGCTTAAAACTCAGCATTCAGAAAACTAAGATCATGGTATCTGGTCCCATCACCTCATGGGAAATAGATGGGGAAACAGTGGAAACAGTGGCTGACTTTATCTTTTTGGCTCCAAAATCATTGCAGATGGTGACTGCAGCCATGAAATTAAAAGACACTTACTCTTTGGAAGGAAAGTTATGACCAACCTAGACAGTTTATTAAAAAGCAGAGAAATTACTTTGTCAACAAAGGTCCATCTAGTCAAGGCTCTGGTTTTTCCAGTGGTCATGTATGGATGTGAGAGTTGGACTATAAAGAAAGTTGAGTGCCATGGAATTGATGTTTTTGAACTGTGGTGTTGGAGAAGACTCTTGAGAGTCCCTTGGACTGCAAGGAGATCCAACCAGTCCATCCTGAAGGAGATCAGTCCTGGGTGTTCACTAAAAGGACTGATGTTGAAGCTCAAACTCCAATACTTTGGCCACCTGATGCAAAGAGCTGACTCATTTTAAAAGACTGGGAAAGATTGAGAGCAGGAGGAGAAGGGGACGACAGAGGATGAGATGGATGGATGGCATCACTGACTCAGTGGACATGGGTTTGGGTGGACTCCAGGAGTTGGTGATGGACAGGGAGGCCTGTCCATGTGGTCACAGAGAGTCAGACACGACTGAGTGACTGAACTGATCTGCGCCACAGCTCTATAGTTAATTCCTCCAAGTCTCTGGTCATTATTTTTGTCTCAGGCAATATCCACAAACATTTCCTTGAACTCTGCATGCAAAGCACTCTGTGTCAACACTGAATTATAAGCTTCTACAAGATTATCTAAGCAGAATAGAATTTGTTTTATATGTCTCATTCTGTCTGTTAGAATATAAAGGCAAATCACAGATTTTTTTTTGCTGACAGGTAATTTCTTATACCCTACCTAAGAAACTGTTCCATACACTTTCTTTATCAGCTGAGCCACCAGAGAAACCCATACACTTTCTTTACTCTGCTTCAAATTGAACCCTAAAGCCTCCCTTCCTTATTCTTATGTGGTCCCCAGTCAAAGGGTCTCTGCCTGTTTCAGTGTCATTCACTGGCTATAGCAGTGAGTGGAAGGGCTATAGATGTATGTTTAACTGTTGATCAGTCAACATGTGACCTCAGCACAGCTGGAGGGCAAGATTCTGAGCCTTCAGACCTAAACCATACACCTCTTATGTTCCATCTCACATCCCCTTCACTACCTGTCCTTACCTGTGGCTGTTTCTATGGCAACCACACATAACTTGGCAGCACCTCCCCTCAACTGCACTAATTTTCTGTCCTCAGGCTTTCCTGATGCTCTGATGTGGGGCATCTGTGAGAACTTTTAGCCATTGTGGTACATCTACCTACTTGGAAGTGTGAGAAAAGTAATACCCTTTACCAGTGGGGGACAGGAATTGGTGGATGAATGTTCCTTTCTGTCTTTGTCCTGTCCACGGAACCCAGGATGGTCTCCAATGGCATTTAGATTGTGTTCATCTTCATTTACTAAATAAACATGAATGATGCATTGGAGACAATAGTCACCAAGGGTATCTGGTTCCCTAGTCTGTCCCAAAACCTGGCTCAGTGTCTGTCACATGGTAGGTGCCCCATAAATACTTGTGGAATAATTGGCTGCTGAGAGATAAATGAGAAGAACACAAGTAACTCTCTGCACACAGCAAAAATACTGAAATAAGTACAGAAAGGTAGAGGATATGACAGGCAAAAAAGCACAGTAGCATAAATTGCTATGACATATTTGAGGTGTGGTCAGTTGTCTGATTTGGCCAGAGATTAGGGCATATTTGGAGGCCACAAATAAGATTTGGACACCATTTGATGCTGTATCCTAGTAAGTCTCAGTATTTTGATATAATGATTTATAGAGATCTGTCCCCTTATTCAACTGCAACCTCCTCAAGGACAGGAACCCACATATAGTAGAGTGGCTAGCATGTAGTAGATACCAAATAAATATTGAATTAAAAAACGTAATGGCTGGGGGATGGGTGGATGGATGCATGATTGATGGATGACTGGGCCTGGCTATTGCATAGGCTGAAGGAGAGGACCTTAAATAGGCCTGACTTTCAGTGTGTGGCAGGCTACACACAATACCAAATTTCCCAGCCTATTTCATTGCAGCTAATGCAAAAACGAAGCTAATATCGCTGATGTAGACCTTTGGGAAGCAGCACATTTTCTATTGACACACAATCAGAGCATGGAGTGTGCATACCAGATTTCTCTGTTACTCATGGGTTGTAAACAGCAAGGCAGCACCTCCCTGTGATAAACACACACACATACAAAAACACCTCCAGGGGATATTAAGTGATGGGTGCATTCAGCAGGTACAACAAAATAAATAGGAGAGTTCACGTTTCCACATTAAGGCAAAAAAAAAATTAGTTGTGTTTTCACAGTGTCTCTGTGACCTCTTATTATTCCATTAGTTTTTGGAATAGTATATAAAACACCAAGCCTCATGCTGACAAACCCCATATTGAAACTATTGCCACAGTCAATCCAAACAGCCTTCTCCCGTGGGTTAAATTATTATTTGGAATACAAGCAGAATGTGGTTGCCTGAGCGAGCTGAGCATAAATGAGGTAGTGATTCATAGGTGACTCTAGCGAGTTTGCAAATGTGCAGCTTTTCTGGAGGCTGACGGGCAGCAGAAGCTCTGCATTGCCCTTTTGAGCCAGTAAGCATTTTCTAGTCTCACCACCTCTTCAAGACCTGGACGACAGTGGAGGATGCAGGCGTCTGAGGACAGAAGTCATCCTGACACAATGCTGACTTGCCAAAAATAAAACCTTCAAATCAGATCACATTCCTGTCAGTAGCTTTTTGAGCGGGAAGATGATAATTCTGCTTCTTCACATGTTCCTTTAAGTACTTGAACTTTTGTTCCATTGGATTAAGCTTTTGGGGGCTGGGTCATCTGGGGTATTAATTCTATCCTGGAGAGGTTGGAGAAAAGTGTGCTGGTCTAAAAATACAGCTCCTGAACTTCTGAACCTTCAAATCTCTTTGATTATGTGGCTTCTTTTTCTGAATCCTGAACCTGATTTTTCAAATTTTTTGAAATCCATTAATTCTTTGATATCAGTAGAGTAAGTTCAAAGAGAGCAGAGATGGGTATAAAGCTCTGCAGAGCTTTGTATAGAGAAGGCATTTAAAGAGTCAGCATAATGATGCTGCTATTATTGCCGCATAATGAGATATCTGCTGAGTAGGTCCGGACTTGGAGAGAGCCTCTCTGGTAGTGATAGACTCTGAAAGTGACAGGTCCCCGTTTCTTCTCTGATACCGTACCAATTAGCTGATCTAAATGGGTACATATTTAAGTTTGAGGTCATGTACAGTTCTCAAAGGCTAGACTGCCCCCAAGAATGAGGCTGTAACTGACTCTCTGTGTCATAACAGACAATAGCGGGAAAGGATCCCAGAGGCCACTTTTCCATATTTTGTGGTGTTGGGAGGTGACTCATTTTTGATAAAGACTGGGTACATTTATTCATCACACCATTGGGAAATGCCCAGGGTTGGTAAGACTCTCAAGTTAAAAGCACATAGGGTCCTACAGTGGTACTAGGATCCGGGGAAGCTCTGTTCTCAATTACACGGATTTAGCAGTGATGGGGAGGCTGGGAGTGACCCACAGCGCCTCACTGCTGCGCCAAGAAAAGGAGGGAAGCCTGTGTTGTGTCCTTCTGGGTCAGCAGACCGAATATTCTGTTACCTGACTCTCATCCCCTGTGAGGAAAAGTGCAAATGCAGAGACCTTCGCCCAGGTACAAACATTACAAGATGGACTAATTACACAGTGTCCAGACGGGGCCCTTGCCGGGCAGGGCAGCTCTTCTGAGACAAACCATGTACATCAGCCTGGAGTGAGTGGACATGAACTCCTCAGGCAGCAGCAAAGACGCATGGTGGAACCTGTTCCACCACGAAAACAGAAGCTGTGTATATCCAGTAAGGGGAGAACTGTTCCCTGAAAACCACCATGAGGAAAACAGACAAGCCCCTAAAATATGCTTGCTGTCAGCCTTCAGTATTTAAAAAGCATGCACTTCATTTGAGGCGCATTCTGATGCTTGTTCTCCCTTGATTTCAGCTTCCATTTTCTCCAGCAATCACTCAAGCCGAAGCGGAACAGCTGCTGGGGCCGTGCCACCCCCACATCCTGTCAGTCACCCTTCCCCGGGACATACTGTACAGGGGAGCCCCCACAACCCCTCCTCCCAGTTACCGCCACTCGCAGCTGTGGACGCCGGAGCTGAGAGGTAAGGCCATCTGTCTCTCTCTTCTAATAGGTGGCGCCGCTAAACCTCTCTCCACCGCGAAGAGCTTTGATAGTTGCTGAATTTTATTAATAATCCATTGGTGGGTTGAATTACCCAAAGGTGACATTTTAAAAGTACATACACAGAGCACGTGAATCAAATACCTCATTATCTGTTTAATTTTCCATGGGGGGGAAAAAATGAAGATACTGGTAATAATCAACTGAAGTGTCTGATACTGAGAAAACAGATCAGAATTTTCTTGTCTTTCCTTAGTTTATTTCAGGGACTCAATTTTAAGGTAATGTCCCTATAGGTTGAAATGCTTTCCAGATGTAAGATGGTACCTTGAGAACCATAGATCAGTAGTGTTATCTTAAGAGTACAACATAAAAGGGCACAGGATTTTAAATGCACCACCAGAAAGGGGCTGTTCACTGAATACTTTGTGTTGATACCACCCTCGTAGAGTTTCTGAAAGAAAATTTTAAAATCTCGACATTTAGGTCCCTGTCTTTGGACTGCCCAGCTGTCTTGTGGTATGACAGTATGCCTCTCCTGTTCTCTCCACTTCTCATCTGGCTTGAATTGACCTATGGAGGGGTTACTCCTAAACATCCACAGGGGAAAAAGTTCTTGTGGGCACCTCTATGCAATCCTGGAGTAGTAGACATTAGATGGACAAAATAATGGGTTGAATAGGCAGTAAGAATAAAATTTTGAATCTTTGATGTCACCAGCAATCTGGTTTTGTTGCTGTTGGCCTGGTCTAGGAGTTTTTTAATGTGTTAAGTCCACTGAGCCACATTTTAAAAATTTATGCCTACTGTTTATTAATACATCTGTTCACTTAAGAAGCATCCTTTGAGTCCTTGGTAGAGAAGGAACTCAAGTGACAAGATAGCAAAGTAATTAAGGCTTGAATCAGGGGGGAGAGGCAGGGAAAATACAGAGGAGGTTATTGTAGGAGTCTTTGTGAACCATATAAAGACCTGAACTAAAGTAAAGCAATAAGATGGCGAGTTTATTCAAGGGCTATTAGGATACTAAATCACTAATTATTAGTGTATGTGTGGGGTAAAAAAGAAGGACCAGAATTCATTCTTGAGTTATATCCCAAGACATCAGGGTGGAAAATGGTACCATTAACAGAGGAAAAGAGGGTGTTGGGAGAGGAAAGGGTGGGGAAGATGGGATGATAATTAATGGACTTTAGGGCTTTGAGTTTTAGGTGGCTGTGAAACATCCATGTGGATGTATCTGATAGGCAATTAAAACATGGATCAGAATATGTTAGCCTTATCTTAAACACTTCTGTGTTCATGGCTGAGTGTAAACAAATGATGAGCCTTCTCCCACAAAATCTGTTAGCAAACCAGTACAAATGATAATCATCTATTAAGTTCACAGACTTGCCAGTGATCGGATATATTTCCATAAATTCAGTTGAGCTTGTTCATTCTAGGATTTTATTTAGCTTCCAGTTGGGTTTTAAGTGATATTATTCATAGGCTTTTCATCATCCCATTTCATTCTCCCTGGCCAAGAACCATACCCTACAAGGTAGTGAAGTTAAGGAACCATCCATAGGGGCCTCTTCCTTTTTGCCTCACTTCTTATTGGTACTTGTAGACTCTTTACAAGTATATAAGAAGAAAGTAATCTGTGTGTTTTCTTTTTTGTACACAGCCTTTGAAAGAATAAATGTGGAAAAAGATTGTAGCCATTAAATGGAGTAAAAGACAACAGCCACCCAAACACCAGATTAAGTCCCAGCTCCCACAGCTGCTGATTGTTTGAATGTGTTCCTTAGATTCTCCTGCTGCTTAGCTGGTTTCAGTTTTGTCTTTTACATTTCATTTTTTATTTTATAATTTTTTTTTAAATTTCATCTTTTGTATGTTGGTAACATATTTAAAAACTGTAAGAATGGCACAATGAACACTCATATACTCACCAGTTGTTAGCATTTTGCCACCTTCTCTTTCTCTTTCTGACTTGAGAGATCCTTGATTTCTTTGTTTGCTTGCCTGTTGTTTCTAAACCAATCTGAGAGATTGTTGGGAATATCAATGAGCATTAACCCTAATTACCTTAGGAAAGATCTCCTCAGAAGTACATTTCTCCTATATAATCACAATGTAATTCTCACACTCAGGAAATTTAACATTGATTAAGTGTTATTATCTACTATGCAATCAATATTCAAATTTCCTCATATGTGTGAATAAAGTTCTTTATAGATAGAGGTTTTTTTTTTATGATCCAGGACCTAATAAGGATCATATTTTTCATTTCTTTTCTGTCTTCTTTATTCTAATGAATTTTCCTAGCTTTTTAAAAAATTATCATCTTCATCATCATTATTTTTTTTTTCATGACATCAACAGTTTTTGAAGAACTCAGGATATTTATTTTGCAGAATGTTCTGCAATTTGAACTTATCTGATTTTTTCCTCCTAAACAGATTTGTTCATATTCGGCAAGAGTAACGCATAGGTGATGGGGTGTTCCTTAGCTCTGATGAGCCTTAGTGCGCAGCTCACAGGGAATTAGGATTAGACGAACCAGAGCAGGTAAAGCACCTAGATTGTTGCATGGTATGAAGATAGTCAACCTTCACATAGCTGGAAGGTTCAGGTTTGGAAGCCAGGGGATGTTGTCAAATGATTGCAGTGACTGGTAATATAAAAAACCAGGGAAGAGTAAATGGAGAGGCAGGGGAGGGTGGCGTACTTTGTATGGCTGGGTGAGTGAAGTGGATATTTTCACTTTTGTGGCTTTGCCTTGCTGCTCTGCTCTCCCCACAGGATGTGTGCCCCATTCCTCTGCCAGCCCAACTAGAAGGAGCAAGGGCATGGAAGGTTATCTCTTCCAATCAGGTTTGAAGATGACGATGACTTGAAACAGCCCTCAATTATTCACTGTGTTTGCATTAGTGTTCAGCATAAAAACACTAAGAGGAAATGTGCTTACCTTCCGCTTTGGGTTTATATATCTTTGCCTCTGTTTGCCTGGGAAATCCCCCAGTAAAAACTTCAGCAGTTTTCCTAACGGAAATAAGTTTATCACACTTTGCGAATTCTAGTGGGAAACTGGCATTTTCCCCCTGCTTTGCGGGCATTGATTCATCATTTATTTAACTTTAACTTGTTAATAAAATGGGCTGAGTCACTGTCATAAGCCAGGAAATGTCCAGTGCATCGACCCAGTTAGCATGAGGTCCTTTGATCCTTCCCATCGTAAAATAAAGGAGATGCAAGTCCTCTCAATTTGACAAGGTTCCATTTTTATTTTGAAATATTATCTGAATGATACATCATTTCAGTGATTTAAGCCAAATCACACCACATCACCTAATGTTGACTTAAAATTATTATGGGAAGTGGTGTTTTACTATGTCATGTTGATTGAGCCAGTGGCGCTTTATGACGGTGGCTTCCCATAAGAGGAACCCAGGGTCTTCGGAAATGTTAATTTACTGAGTTTCAAAGTATGTCTGTTAGACTAGAGAAAATAAACATTGATGGAAATCTTTTTTTTTTTTTTTGAGATGGAGAAATCTCCCAGTCCCAAGAATAAGTCAGCTAGACTTGTGTCACTGATCTTGTCCAAAAGCATGCCTCTCTTCATTCCAAAGAAGGCCACAAATATGGTATGCTTTGTAGTACAAGTGACAGACGTAGGGGACTTGTGGATTTACCAGAGTGGAGTGACATGTAAAGGGCTTCCTATGAGCCCCACCTCTGAGCCAGAGAAGACTAAAAAAAGGAAAGGATGTGCTCTTCCCTGAAAAGAACACATTCTAGTATAGGACTCAACATCAAAGAATGTTAGGGGCAGTTGTTTTTAAGAACATAGTCTAAATACCTTAACCAATTAAGAAATGTCAGTTCTTGAGTCTATATGAAGTATTGGGAAGAGTTACTATTTTCTATTCATATCAGATGTAATATTGCTAGAGTTCTAGGTACTTTGATGTATGTGCAGTCTTTCTGTGTCTTTGAGTAACCAGGGCTGATCTTCATAGACAGCATTTTCTAATTCACCTTTGGGAACGTTTTGTGTCTTTCCTGGATGCCAATGGGTTAAAAATAAACATTGTTTTCTATGTAATATCTTTGCAACTATGTAAAGTTCTTTTGCTCTTGTCAAATCAACCTGCTCATTCACTTAGTTTGGTTGTTTCTTCATCTTAATTCAGGATCTTTCTATGTCTAAAGAGACAGAAAGGATATTCTCTCAATATCTTATCATCCTTGACTAAATGTTATCAGCCTTGGGCTTGGCTTAATACTCAATTTGCCTCTTGCAGCTCCCCAGTTAAATCACTGAGTCCTTATTATCCAACTTGTTTGTTTTCCATTTCCCAGATGTCTATTTGCTAACTAGATTATTAGTTCTCTGAGGGCAGGAACCTAAAGTTTCCTTGTAACCTCCAGGTTTCCTATACTTCTCTTCACAGTGGTAGATCCTAAGGAGGGTTTAACAAGCAAAAAGGATCAGTGAGGGGAATGCCTCGGAAAGGGGGTTCATTACCAAATGCTGTTTCTATCCTGGAGGAATTTCTAGAAAGGATTACTCCCCTTGAATCATTGGTCTGAAGGGTGGTGACCTCAGTTCTCAAAGGTCCTATATCATGTCTAACCTGCATACTTCTATAGAGTACAGTTCAGTTCAGTGGCTCAGTCGTGTCCGACTCTTTGTGACCCCATGAATCACAGCACGGCAGGCCTCCCTGTCCATCACCAATTCCTGGAGTTTACCCAAACTTATGTCCATTGAGTCTGTGATGCCATCCAGCCATCTCATCCTCTGTCGTCCCCTTCTCCTCCTGCCTTCAATCTTTCCCAGCATCAGGGTCTTTTCAAATGAGTCAACTCTTTGTATGAGTGGCCAAAGTGTTGGAGTTTCAGCTTCAGCATCAGTCCTTCCAATGAACACCCAGGACTGATCTCCTTTAGGATGGACTGGTTGGATCTCCTTGCAGTCCAAGGGAC